CAAGTCACTGCAGTATTGCACAGTTTTTTTCTAAAAATGAATTGTCTGCATTCATCCACTATCTGTATGTTGTATTGCCTAGTTGTGGCCTTAAGGTCTCTGTTCGGTATTCCTCTCAGGTTGCCAGCCTCTGAACCCATCCAACAGTCTCCCTGGTAAAAACTTACACATGACACATTATAAATAATTTTAGGCAAAATGTCGTTAAAAATTTGTACTTCCGTATGAGCCCATTAATCATATAATTTTGCACCTGAACAGAAGTTTCGCTTTCTGAAAAACGGCACGCAAACAAACTGCATATGTAGAGTTTTGTGTGCTTTGTGCAGGAACACAGTTTTTTGGCCGAAACTCTACAAGCTTTGAAGATCCAAGCTAGTTCTCGCTTGTATAAAATTAAGTAAGTTTTCTTTAGTTTACGCAGTACCAGTCATTTCTGAAGATAAAAACTTCTGAATTAACATAAATATGAACTCCTGTCTCTGTCATGATCCTGCATATATCATCAGATACATATAATCATTTCACCACTGCAGCTATTGCAGGAGGCAGCGTTTTGCCTGGTTTTATAGTTGAGCTTGGCAAAATTCCTTTCTCAGCCACTAATTTATTCGTAACCTGAACCACGTAATTTGAGGCTTTGAATTCTTATGGGATTTTCCTAATTGACCAGCCCTTCAGAAGAATGATCCAACATTTGAACCGTTTCGCTCCTCAAGAGCTGTATCGTCTAGGACATACTGCTGTGTAGTCTGCTGAAATTCAAGTTATGTTTCGAAGAATATGTCCCTTCCATTCTCAGGGTTGAAGAACAAGTGAAGCAAGAAAACAGCTTGAATCGAGTAGCAAAAGCCTGCGTTCTCTCTGCAGAAAAACTCTTCAGAGCCATCTCTCTTAGAATGCCAAATTATACTTCATACGTTCTTCTTGTTATATACTTTTTTCTTTAACTGTACTGTCATTTTACCCTCACCTAAACTGATGTCACAACTGAGGTCTACTGAACTGAATATCTTCTTTTCATGACTCCTTTTATTTACTCAATTGTTTCTGTGCATACTTCACTCGTGAATATTTTTATGAACCCAGATATCTATTACAGGAAGATCTGACAACTGATCAAATCTTCTCCTTCAATTAGGCAATATCCTGAGTTTTACGACACAACTGTTTCAGTTCTATATCTTCTGCAAAACTTTCATTAGTTTTCATAAGTTCGTTCAGATTCTGTCTCTCTCTGAGTACTAGAAATATTTTCTTTTTCACGATCAAATCCAGTGTGCATTTCTATTTTTTTTAACTTGCACTGTGACTGAAATTCAAGGCAATAGAATACTGTTTTGAAAACATTACCATCATTCTATTTGTAGTAAGTGTAGCCATTTTAAACGTGGAAGGAATGAAAATTAATTTACTTTGCAACTGCGGAACGAAACGATAAGCATAATATCAGACTTACGAAAACGGCACTAAGTAAAAAATTTTCGTATAATTATGATCTACATGATTTATTCTTTTCGAATATTATTATTAAGGTAATTACATACAGGAAAATGAAGTAGGTAGGATATGTAGCACACATAGTTTCGGCAGTAACACCTTCAGGAGAGAGAACACTTTCTATAGATGGGAGGATAATATTGAAATATGTACTAAAAAGTAAAGCTATCCTTATAACAGGCCATGAAGGCCCATAGGTTGTGAGACGTTGAGGGTCCCACATTATCTAGACAATCGCCTCAAAGATGGCGGTAAGATTGTCAGCCGCACTTTACTCCCCAGGAAAATTATTTAATTCATTCTTGGTACTCATTTCTGTTAGAGGCTTAGTGGCCCTGGGGTCCACTCAGCCTCTAACAGAAATAGAAGAATTAGGTCAATTGAAAAGAGTCCAATGACCTCATCGGGACTTGAACCCGCCACCTTCCGGCTTGTAGCATAGTGCCTCAACCAACTACGCTACCGCGTGCCCCCGAATTGTGTACTATGGAAATAAAATATGAAAGAGTGTACCAAAGTTCAATAGAAATGTATTGTCCGGGATGACTAGTACATAAAACATAGCATTTCTGGGATAAAATACCTACCGACGGGGTTCCAGAACTTTGTGAAACCGTAGAGGTGAACGATTTTATCTCATGAAGAAAGCAGTCTTCTGGGATTTGGCACCGTGTATATGTGGTGTTAACCGACGTTCCTCCAAAACGTCNAAAGGGCTACAGGTAAGATAGCATGGCAAGAAAATATATTCTTTCATACAAAAAGTTTTACATATCCATCCGCTTTCGCACAAACTTAAGATACTTTTATTTGTGCCAAAAAATGTATAAAGGTTGTATGTAACTCTGTGGAGTAAAGGGGAGAAAACATTTTCTCCCATTTTTCACTGAAGAGAATTAGGAAAATTTTAAGCCTTTCAGAGACATTTGTAACGGTAAAGAAGTTTCTGCCGATCACAGTGGCCGTTCGGTCCAATGGATGAAATGTCTTCGCTCATTCGGAAGCTGGGATCGTGGGTTCGAATCCCACTCAAAGGCATAGATGTATGTGTTGCATTTATTCTGTGTTTGTGTTGTCCTGTGTGTAGATAGAGGTCTTGCGACGAGCTGATCACCCGTCCTACCGTCCTACCGTCCTACCGTCCTACCGTCCTACCGTCTGTGAAAAAATTATTATAAAACTGAAGAGGTCAGGTCCAAAAAAAAAAAAAGCTATAGAACCATTGATGAATGCAGGAAGGAAAAAGAATAAAGATTTTTGGTCTGACGTTCTCAGTTTTCCGTTTTTCCTGCGAATGCCCCTCTGCATGAAATTGCTCTTCCTCGTGTGCTTCTCATGTACCAGTTTATACTATGGTATCTGACATAGACTTAGCTGAGGTTTCACTGAATTAGTACAGACCGACTTCAATATTCAGTATGTGTACAATTATATAACAAAATTGTGCAGGCAACAATCAGAAGTCATACAAAATCATGAGAATGAACATGTTCGCGGTATAGGACAAGGCGAAGCCATACATGGAAAATATAAGAGGCTTAAACATGGAGATGGTCAAGCTTACTACCGTTCAAGTGATTAATCTGCCGTTGTAGGATAAGTAAGAGAGACATTACCTGCTTTACAAAGCCTGGACTGAGAGATGAATTGTATGTACAGCACAAGAAAGAATTTTCAATAACGTGTTATTCGTGTGATACGTACACTTGCCAAAGGCAAAATCTATTCAGACGAGACAAACCCATCCTGTCGCCAGAGAGGGTGTTACTCGTACATAAGGATTTATTTAAAAAAAATCTATGGTCGTGAGACTCAGTCCAGTCGTAAAGTATTTTTTTTTGCTAGTGGGGTGGGACTAAGTCCCTTGTACTGCGGCCACTTCTGGCCTATTGTACCAGCCCCAGATGCTAGGTGAGGGGGATTGTGGAGCAATTTGTTGAATGAAGATTGGCAGAGGAAACCGAAATTCTCGGAGAAAACCTGTCCCAGCACCACTTTGTTCACCACAAACCCCACTTGACCAGACCCGAGATCGAACCCGGGCCGCCGCAGTGGGAAGCCAGCGAGTAACCGCTTGAGCTATGGCGGTAGAGATGGTACTCATTTCTGTTAGAGGATGAGTAGACCCCAGGGCCGCAGTGTTTCTGGAAGGACTGTCAATTGAAGAATTCAATCCGTACATTGGTAACCGAACCAACGTCCTACCGGCTTGTAGCCTAGTGCCTCAAAAAACTGCGCTACCGTGTGCCCTGGCTTATGCTATACGGACCCTAAATCACTGGAATAGCCCTATGCTTGACAGCAGCCAAATTGAAGATTCTTGCATTCACTGTGTGGGCCTCTCCTTGTTCCGTGTTGAAAAGTCTGCATTTTTATTATTTTGTGTGACTTCTGTTTGCTGCCTGCAATATTTTATAATACAGCCATATATATATATATACACGATAGCTCTAAACCTATATGATTATAAGTGTGAGGATGAGAATTACCACTGCAGGACATGATGTCCTCAAATTTGTGGTTATGAATAGTTGCATGTTATGGGATACAGTGATGTATAATCCTTTGAGAGTGGACTGACGTTCGAGAGCAGCATATTGCCTCCATCTTCAGGGTATAGAAATAAGCGATGCAAGAAAGTGACGTGAAGCAGGTAACCTGCTTGTTTCTTGTATGCTTATCCTTCCACCATGAAGATGGAGGCAACAAGTTCCTCTGAAACCTATGTTAACTCTGAACGGACTACATGGAATTTTATCCCAGAAGACAGAACTGTTCAGAATTACTAATGGTTCGGAAATTCTTGTTTGCCGGCACTACAATTTCTATAGGTATGTCTGCAACAAATTCCCAAGCGGAAAAATCACAAGTCATTAGAGAGTTAATCAGAGTGTTACGTGGGTTTAATTATCAATGTTTTATTTAAAATACTTCTGCTACCATCGAAGTATCCTATCCAAAGTGTACAGCTGATTTCCCAATGTCAAAGAAGGTGGAGCATTAAATTGACCATTCACCCATATCCAGCGTTGCAATGTAGCATATATGGAGCTTTACCTCCACATTCATTAACTTCGTTGACGTCAATATGTTCCACTATGTGAACGTTTTATATCTTACCCTCTCCGAGACACACGGGGTAAATCAGGCGGTATAGCAACGGGCTAATGCCTGGAAGGCAATGGCTCGAATTCCTGCAGGTATTTCTTTCCTCCAGAGCGTCAGAGGGATCCATCCAACCTCCAACCCAATGAGTGATGTGGATGTGAAGCTGGCTAATCATCTTCATCTAGTGCCAAGGTGAAGAATAATGGAGCTATACTTCCACATTCCCCATACGTCTTCATGGCGTAGTTCTTAATCCAGGTACAGAGGCAACTTTATCTTTACCTTCTCCCCTCCCAGAAAGTAACAGCTTGCTACCGCAAAGTCTGACGACCACAGAGCAAGTCCTCCAAGTACATCGAAAGAAGGGAAACCCGGATGACGTGTTGCTATGACGTCAGGCAGGTATCGTGCGTAACAACTAGTTGAAGAGAAGAAATGTTCAAGTCTCCGTGGTCGGTCAGTCCTGGTTGGTCTGGCGGCAGTGTCGGACTGCTGTTAGGTACATGCGCTTACGTTAGAGATAAGTGTGCAAAACCGAGTTAAAATTCGTATTACGTCTGCATGGGCTTAAAAACATTTGCCTCAGATCTTCTTGGCTGAAACATTCAATGAGTTATTCACTACGATAAGGAACTCCGAGCTCTGTGTGTGATAAGAAGTGGATTTAAAACAGCAAGCGGTGTATTGTTCTGTGCGCACAGCAGATTTTTCTATCAACAATAGAATTCCGAAGTGATCTTTGAGTAATAATTCTGTGTATTCATTAATTAGTGAACCCATACGAACGAAATTTTCAAACTATCCGCTGATTTGATTTTTTATGGTGCCTGAAGATTCGTGTATAACAAAGTGAATAGCTGTAAGTGGTAATCACAAAACTTTTACACTTATCTGCGAATAAAACCGGAAACTATAACAAACTGTTTTTATAATTGCTGACAACGATAAGTATACCAATTAATAACGCATGTCAACACGTCAATAACTTACCATTAGCTACTTCTTGCTACTGATCGAAGATAAGTCGATTGATCGGCATTGAAGTACCATTGAAGGTTACATCTGATAAAGTTGTGTTAATTTTTTTTAAACAAGAATATCTTAACTGTTAAAGACAAATTAGGAAGTGAGTTGCCAAGAGCCTGTAATTTAGTGCTAGCTAGTTGGTGGTATACAGAAAAGGTAAAGCGAAGTAACATTAATCGATTTTATGTTATAAATAGTTCTACTGACAATGTCAACGAGAATTTCAATTTATGTGTAAGACATAAGAAAGTATTATGCTGAAACTGTTCCCTCCATAAGTGTCAACAATCACTGATAATAGTCAACGAACTTTCCTCCGGGAAACAGAGAGAGAGGGAGAGAGAGTGTTTCTTATACAATTGACAACCGGAAGAAAGCATACGTGTGCCGAGAAATATTACTCAAGGATAATAAGTAGTAATTAATACATCTGAAAATACTTGTTTAATTATTATCTCAACAAATCCCGTTCTTACTTAGCCGTTGGGTTACGCCTGGCACATCTAATTGAATATTGTGTAAATATTGCTTCTATTACGAGTCAACAAGGAAATTAATTTTTCATCAAATGATAACAGTTCTCTTTTTCCTGTGATACTATTCTTTATAAATTACAAGGTGTATATGTCTTGAAGAGAATGGAGTAAAAATAAGAGGTCTGCTATTTCTAATGCTTTTTGTCATCGATAATTTGCTGCAAGTTTTACCTTTGACACAGACCAATGCGAGAGATCTTCTGCACTAACCTACTTTGTTCAGCATGGCAGAAAATACAGCAAAAAAGATAATTTATCCTTGGTTTTAAATACATTTGCGTGAGTTGTGGCGAATCAAAATATGGCACAGAATTCAAATCTATTAGTGAAATATTAGGATTCACGTGAAATACCAAAAAAGTAATGATATATTGCACAAGGCTATCTGGTTATACTGCTTTATGGTATTCAGTACAAACATGTGAAAGTTGATTTAAAATATTAGAGTAAGCATCATACAAATGTGTTAATTAAAATAACAGCTTCATACTGCAGAATTTGTTGAGACTTTCAAGAGTCCGTTAACACAAGTGCCGCATGCAGAAGAATGGACAACTTTTGTGTACACTAAACTTTTTTAATGAAGTGAAGTTGAACTTACACACTTATATTATGAGAAGTGAAATTTTATGAGGCTTTTCAAGAGGGCGTTTCCGGATGAGACTTCATCTTATTACTGTCTCAAATATTCATGGTGAGTAAAGCTTCCATAAATAATCAGCTGCATGAAACACCTTGAGAATAATTCTCAGAGAACTGTGGAGTTTACGTTTGTGAAAAAGAAGTTGTTGAGAAGAACAGGGTCTTGCAGAAAATTTGAGTTATGGAAAGCGACAATTAATACTGATCAGAGTCCATACTGAAGTTGCTTACATCTTCACTGAACTTAGGCAAAACGAGGTAGCACGTGTGAACCTAGTCGTATTAGAGATGTGTGTCAACAATTTTGGCCTTTAAAATATTCAAGGTTTTCGCAGCGGCGTGGCTGTGAAGAGCTCTGCATTCTGGGATATAGCACTCTGTAGTCCGGTGAATATCACAGACGTTTCGGAGAAACATCGTTTCCATCTTTAGTACCGAAATTTAAGCTAAGCAAGAAATCAACATACAACGAGCAGTACACTGAGTGGCTTGGCTTACATTTCGACCCTGAAGATGAGGGCAATGTTTCTCAGGAACATCGTACAACTTTAAACCGGACTACATTGTATTATGTACCAAGAGATGCAAGAATTTACAGTAATTGTTCATGTGACAGTGCATAATATTTATTTGCATTTTGTCTGAAGAAGTACATGGTAAAGAAATATTTGGAGGAAAATTTTCCCTGAATTTGAACTTCTTAGGGAGTTGTATAGTTGCAGTTTACTCCTTAATTTTATAGTGTTTTGACCGGATACTAGGAACTAGAGCCAATACTTCTAGGTCTAAAAATAAATTGGACTATCATAAATACAATGGAAACGTGGACTGTATAAACTGATTTCGAATGTCATTACAGCCCTACTCCCAGCAAATGCGATTTCTTCCGTCAGTAGTTGCATACGAGTACACTAACAAATAACTGCAAACACAGACACCGAGTTACAGCGAAAGGCAAACTTGGATACAAGTTGGAAACCGTGAAAACTTCCAATCCGCTGTTAATGACGTCTGATCGTATCCGGTGGACAAGTGTTACATGAACAGGTCACGCGATGCATTCGGAAAATTATGAATAATTTACATACAACTTTTTAAATGCAACAACTCAAAGAAAGACGTATTTTTAGTGCAGCCGGGATAGCTCAGGGTGTATATCGACGTACTAGGGGCTGGACGGCCGGAGTTTAATTCTCGGAAGAAGCAATACTTTTCACTTTTCCATAACTTCCACGGACGGCCCGTCCAGTTTCAAATTCAATGGATACCGGGGGCTCTTTACCAGGGGGTAAAGCCGGCTGGGTGTGAAGCTGACCATTTTTATTCCTCTATTGCCGAGGTAACGAATGATGGAGTTATACCTCCATTCCACAATATGTTTGCATGCCACAGTGTTTAATTAATTAAGCACAGGGGCAATATGAGGTTCGTATAATCAGAATATCAATGTAACATTTCAAATCATAGCTACCATAGCATCCTGGGCCACCAGAACTGTAAAATTATGATTTTAATAACTTTCAGCGATCAAATGGCTTCTTATTTACGTACCTTGATATATCAAACTTCTGTACCATCGTATCCTTCTAGATCCATACCTACTCCTCATTCGTGGTCTTCCCACCTCATTAGGCGCTGTACTATATAACCTGAAAACACAGGAAGACGAAACCATTTAGTATTTTTAAAAACTTACCACATTGTAGGGAATTTCTAGACAAGTGAATATGTGTTCACATGTTAAAAACATTGACAGCCTTCATAATTCCCAATGTTCAATTCCGTTATCACAAAAGCCCGCCGTTAGTCTCTCAATTTAGTCAGCTGTCCACAGTTCGTATACTAATATAACAGTTTTAAGACCCATTTTAATATTATTGTCTTATTTGTACCAGGTCTCCTCCTATCGTAATCCTATACTAATTAAAGACTACAATCTCTAGCTCTCAAAAATCCATTTTAATTTCACTTTCACTTCACCTCTACATCTCCAATCTGAACCCCACTTTCTGAAGAATTCTGATTAAATGTCAATACCCCATTTCTCTCACCCTCATTCATACTGCATTCCTTCCTTCTTGAATTAATTGCCCTAACAGCTCTCGGAGATGACGAGATCACGAAGCTCTTCATCATACATTACGTCTATCTGTGTTATTTTCCTTACTTATATGTACGTATTTTAGTAGTTTGTTTCTATTAATTAGAATAAAACATGCAAACAAACTCCGTAGCTTGAGTCCACAAGCGAACTATACCGACCGAGTGACCGACGCTTGTCCGCGAAGTTAGTGCCAACTTTAGAGATTAGAGGGTGTCGCGTGGTCAGTGCAACGAAATCCCACGGCCGTTCATTCCTGTCTTCTAGACCGAAGTCGCTCTTTCCTTGAAATAGCTCCTCAATTATGCTCACGAGGCTGAGTGGACCCCGTTCCAGACCAACTAATTCCCATAAAATCTGGTAACGCCTGGAATCGAACCCGGGACCTCTGGATCTGTAGCCAGGAACTCTTACCACTAGACCACAGAGGCGATCTATTAATTGGAGTAGTTTAGTAAAAATCCGGAAATCGATAAGATTAAATATTGATACATCAGATATTAGGACTGTCCATTTCCGGAGTACCAGTCAGGCTAGTTACCTTTATATATTTTACTAGGTTGCTGAGAGTATAAATGTGTGATTATCGTGAGCTGCAATATGAAGCTTCCATTATCCCTAAGCCTTTCGGTGTTTCTAAGTCATTATATTAGTGACACTGTCTGGAAACCACGTGACAGGCTATCTTCTCCGTCTGTCTCAGCGTGCGCGGAGTTATATAACTGGAACGCCTGAACTGCTGTAGGTCGCGTGATAAACACGCTCCGCAGTTCGCAATGCATTGTTCTCTGTCTCAGAATCTTCTGAGTTATAACCGGTAGTCAGCTTGACAGAGGTCACGTGACCAACACACCTCGGCGCTTACAAGACATATTTGTCTCAGTGTAAGCAGAGTTATAAGCATGTCAGTCTGCTGTGGGTCACGTGACAAACATTCTTCGTCGTTTGTAAAGTGTTATATGTTTGTCTCAGAATTCTCTGAGCTATGACTGAAGTGTCATCTTGATAAAGAACACACGAAAAACATACTTCGCGGTTTGGAAACATTATATTAACACAAGTATATATTTCTACTGAGGAAGAATACCATAAATACTAAGATTAAAAAAAAAATATGACTACACACTACAGTAAAAACGAAATGTTATGGCGTGTGATATTTGCGTTGTTGTACCGAGTGTCACGCGGTGAAATTTAAACTAATCAGCGACAATCAGGTTCTTATATTTGTATTATTTATTTCTTTACAATGTTGTTAGTACGTTGGGCCATGCAGCACCGAATGGTAGGATGAATAGTGAATGATTAAAGGTGTGGAAGGTAGCGGTCGTGGCCTATTTCAAGTATTCTCTTTTGTATCTGGATAGACACAGGATAATCTTGAAAAGCTTCAGTCAAAACACTCTGTTTTGAGGTCAAGATTCAAATCGGGTACCCAGACCCCGAATATAACAACAGATTAATTAATATCTATTGGGATTTTAGAATATTACTAGCATTATCATGCAAGGAAAGTTAGAGTGGAAGCAAACATACAACCGCTCAGGCGGTTAGAAGCCGGCTCCCTACCGCAGCTGCCCGGGATCCATGCCAGGTCAGGTCAGATGGGATTTGTAGTGGACAAAGTGTCACTGGGGCAGATTTTCTCCGAGTACTTCGATTTCCCCTGCCAATTCTTATTCCATCGACTGCTCTACAGTAATAATCTATCTTCCGCGGATGGTACAAACGGACAAAAAGTGGCCGACGTACCAAGTGAGCTTAACCTCTCCCTACAAGAAGAAAGTAAAAAAAAAAAAGTCACACAACACTTAGTTTTCGCTTTACACGACAAAACACCAGTCCCCTCCCTGTTTCTTCGATTCTTATTTCAATTATTCAAGCACCTCAGTACGTTTGCAACAAATTTGATGGTGAGAAATTCCTTCCGTCAAGGCGCCCATCTGTCTCCCAGCACACAATAATTCCGCCTACCTTGAACGATTTTCATCGAAATTTTCTGCATAGTGGAAACTTCTCTACATCTTCAGCCCTGTATTTAGGCCTATGTATCAATATTTATATTCAAGTGCAGCCTATACAAGACACAATAAGCTCCTGCAATAAATTCTCTATTAAAATTTAGTCCCAGAATCTCGTCTTGAATCCTGTTTTAACTAACGAGGCTCTGAAGACCGAGACTTCCCAGCTTAACCACTCCGTCAAGCGTGAGGGAAATACCATATCAAAAGCTATCCAGAGGCTGCCTAAAAGGTAGCATCCGTGCTACTGAACTAGCTGGTTGTTGGCCAGCATCCAATTAGTAGCACAACATCTTGCTTTCAAGTCTCATTGTGGCTTAGAAGCCTAGGGGTAAGGGCAGTTAAGGAGACCGTAACTGGCCGCGTGGTCTGATACATGACAGGTTGAAAATTATAGGCGCGTTCATTATGAATGATTGTTAATATAAATGAGCAATTGTTAGATGCATTAACTAATTGATTCTTAGATAATTTCACACCTTGCCCTGCCTATTGCAGAAGAATATAGCAAAATTGAATGTCATTACCACACTTACCGTGCTAGTACTATTGTATTCAGGGGGTTTAATGTAACTGATCAGATTAGAATACAATGAACTTCAACGGAAAAGCAACTGTTTCAGTTGAAGAGGTTATATCTTTGGTGTTCTGTAAGAAGGGCCTAAATCAAAATTCATTACGAAGGGTATATTTTGACTAACTTTCAATTTTTACCGGTATAATCTGAATGATCAAGTGAAATAAGATGAGATGGGCAGAACGTGCAACACGCATGGTAGCCAAGAGGAATGCATATAGGACTTGGGTGGGAAAGCCAGAGGGAAAGAGGTCGCTGGGAAGATCTAGATCTGAGTTGTTGGATAATATTAAAATGGATCTTAAGAGTAATAAGATGGGGTGGCGTGGAGTTGATTCGTCTGATTCAGGATAGGGACCACTGGAGGGCTCTCGTGAACACTGTAATGGGTTCCATAAAAGTTGGGAAATTCTTCAGTAGCTGAGGGACTGGAAGCTTCTCAAGAGGGACTCAGTTCAAAGGAACTAGTTATGTCGTGTCGTTAGTTGTTATTTAATGCCACGGTGTTCTGCTTGTAACTGTCACTGCACAAAGAGAGGGCTTCAGGCTTTGCTACGTTTCGAAAAAGGAAAAAGCTATTATGTAATTACAGGCCTATGTACATTGGAATAAGTCGAAACAGATAAATTACCACATTGAATTCGAGGTTTTCCTGGCGGTGACTATGAAAAATACAGACTTCTGAGTTCTAATTATGTATAGTTCGAAGACAGCCCGATGTTTCGAAGCAATATATTAGCTCCATCATCAGGGTCGAAGAGAAAGCCAAGCATGAAACCAGCAGAAACAGGCGACGAGACAACGGAAGCTGGACAAACATGAAGCTAAAGAAAACAATATGAAGAACAGAAAGGAAATAAATGTATATTTTGAATTTAAAGTTCGAGTGATGATTTTGGAGAGTATATCTTCTGAGTTTTATCGAGGCAATCTTTTTGCCCCTGAAGATGGAAACGATACATTCCTCCGAAATGTTATGCTGTCTCCTTACGGACAGTCGTGATATATTCAAAGAATTTTCCCATCATTCCCCCGGAGAGGCCGAGAAACAAGGCACGAGATACCTGAACCAGAGGAGTAGGTTATCCCAGTGAGGTTCGAAACATGAAGCTCCCATATTTTCCAGACAATCGGCTCACAGATGGCGGTGAGGTTGTCAGCCTTACCCGCCGGCCGCCCTTTACTCCCCAGGAAGATTCCTGGTACTAATTTCTGTTAGAGGCTGAGTTGACCCCAAGACCATAGCGCTGCTGGAAGGTTTAGGTCAATTGAAAAAATCCACCTCATCGGAACTCGAACCCGCGACCTTCCTGTTTGTAGCATAGTGCTTCAATCGACTGCGCTACCATGTGCCCCCATCTACGATTCAGTTTCAGAAATAACTTCTTTTGCTTGTTCTGACTACAATCCTGTGCACATTAATTCCATCGAGTGCTACATGTAGAGCCCCTGATTTAATCACCGCATTTTTTCATTAGATTTATACCCTACTGATACATAATTATTAGCTACATATGACAGATCACTTTAACCATTACGCTGAAAATTACTTTTGATTAATTTGGAAATCCCGGCTATCAAGATTCTTGTAGTCCCCCATGCAAAGATACGAATGCCCTTCCAGTCAGGCGAATACTTGGAATTATAATGAATGGCCTTTTATGGAAAACAGAAGAACATTTACGACATGTTCATAATAGAAATTTAAATGTTTTATTTTATTTACGAGAATGGTGCGTGTACACAACGTGACAAAATTCCGGGTCCGTTAGATTCCTGCACGAGTGTGTGTAAACCTCATGTCTGTCCGCTTGTTTCCAGAGAACCAGTTTCAAGCATTTTCCCCAGTACAAATAACCAGGACATAGTTGGAAGGCTATGCTTACTGCCTACTGGGAAGTGGTGTCCTGTAGTTTGTCAGAAGTTCACAGATGTTTCTGAGTAACGTAC